AGTCATTGGGTGTTACAAGGTGGCTTGGCCCAGGGACCACTTAGGGTAAGTGTTGGGCCCATAGAGCCCATGTGATGGGTTTCAGGGGGTGCACTGTCCAYAACADTGWATTYRRMCAGGCCTTGTAACAAAGGCTGGGCTGAACCCATGTGGCTGATGTGTAGATTAATGTTTGGGTCCCAACTGGGCAGCAGTTTAGAAGGCTAAGTGAGCACATAACTTTATTGGGCCTAAAGCCCATTTCGAACTGGGCTGATTTGATTAGTTAACCCTATCCACTCAGAGAGTCCATATCTGAATTTCAGATCTGGAAACCTCCTAATAGGATTAGGAGGGGGTTGATCTAATATGCAAATAAGATAAGGGTTTACCCTTATCACTTAAAGGGAATTCTGATCCAAATATGATTTGGATCAACAACTCCTAATGGGGTTAGGAGTTGATCCCTTTAAGCTTATAAAAGGAGGAAGGGGCAGCAGCCTTTAGAAGACATTATATTCACATCCTCTTCAGAGCTGAAATTACATAAGAGAGAATTCAGCATCACTACATTAAACCTCTCTCTTGCCGCCTTCTCCCTGCCGCCGCCATATCTACCAGTTCGATCTCCTCTTGTTAATAGGAGTGATCAAGATTGAATCTTGATAACAGTCCTTTGTGAAAGGGCTGATTAAAAGAAGTGCTCATGTGCCATCCAGCTGATACTGGCGAAGGATTTGGTTCTTTTAATGCTGCTGATTCTGCTCCATCCTGCACTGCGCCATGTTCAGTGGGAGAAGTTTTTGGTTTCTTCCTTGGGCGTGAACACCTCCATTGGGAGATACTATTTCTCTGTATCAGATATATCCCTCTCCTACTGCTTTTGTTCAGATTTGGTTCAGTTCTTGGTTCAAGATTAAACCTTGAAAATATGACTTTTCTAAAGGGAATACGATTGCAAGTTGGATGGAGAGAAATTTTTGAAATTCGCCCATTCTATTCCGCAAGATTCGGGCGTCCATACGATGGATATCTCATCCCTTCAAATGGTGCTCTACAATGGTGGAAACGCCAAAGAACGGATTGAGAAATGGTGCCTAGTAAGAAGGTTTGGGAGAACATAGATTTGGGTTCACACTGGATCTTGAACCTCCGTTGCCGGCTATCGCTACAACTACGAAAAAACAAACAAAATATCATTTGTGTTCTGTAATGGCCGAAAGACTAGAGAGGCAACATGAACCCATTATTAGTCATTGGTTGTCGTTGCAGTGGTAAAAAAATAATCTCTGGCCTTGTTTTGCAATGATGGAAAGACAGATCTACTCAGTTTCCATTAGAGGTGAAGAAAAAAAATAATGCAAGCAACACTTGCAGCTATTGGAACCAATGTTTGTCAATCGCCAGCTGTCGTTGTGTCTCATCTCTTTCCATTGGTGATGAAGAAAAGCTTTTCCCCAGCTGAAAAAAATAGTGAGGAACAACTATAGGATGTGGGAAAAAGTGATTCCGCAGTAGAGCTTGTAGAGGGAGTGGTTGGACGCTCCAGGGAGATAGAAATTCAAAGTGTCGTCGGTCGCCAGAGAAATACCCCTTAATGCGCTATTTGCTAGAGAGAGAGATGAGAGAAAACAACTGGAGAGATACTACCACCATAGAGAAACCACCGCCGGAACTTCTGACGGAGTTCGAGGAATACCACCGCCGGAGAGAAACCTTCTTCTTCGTTCAATTGCCATAGGGAGCAGTGGAGGTGTAGAGTGCCGCTAGCCAGGTCTTTGAAGAAAATTTTGGAGAAAACTTCAAATGAATTAACGGAACCATTCATTCAGCGGTTTTGTCCAAATTCGGTCCGCATTATATATGGACCACTTAAATTTGGACTGGTATGAGTCCATACAATTGTTTAGACCATCCGGTTCGTCCATAATACCTTCGGATTGGACGGGGTCCAACCCGAAATCAGTCCATTGACACCCCTAGATCCATGGACGACACCTTTCCATCTCAGGCCCATTATGCTATTAAATATCCAATTCCCTCTATAATGCTTACACAATTTCATGATAATGGGTTTGAACCCACCAACTATTTGGTTGCCTCAAAAGATGCCCATTGGCAAGATGCCATGATAACAAAATTTTGTGCATTGGTTCAGAATCAAACCTGGTCCTTAGTTCCATATCGACCTAGCATGAATGTCATTGGGAAAAATGGGTTTATAAGATTAAACAAAGGGCTGATGGATCCATTGAGCAATATAAGGCCCATCTTGTGGCTCAAGGATTTAGTTAAATCCTAGGAATTGATTTTGGAGAGACATTCAGCCCTGTTATTAAACCGGTTACAATCCAAACCATTCTTGCATTGGCAACTATTGAGTTATTGGGCCAATGTTAAGTTATTAGGC